GGACTCAATTTGCACTATTTCTGGCAGTCTGCAAAGGTCCTTGGTTAACAAAAGTGAATGCATGTCTATGAATGGACTCACATTTGGAAATAGATTGCTCCATGTGTCTCAGTATTTTTCTGAAGCACTGACTATAGCTAATTCACATCTGACTGCTTAGTTCATCCACCTGATCCAGTGGTTATCTGGTAGCCTCCGTACCAGAGTGCTATGAATACAAAAACAGGTTTAGTTTAAAGTTTGGATTAAAACCCAGAGCAAGTTCATTGCCCCACTGACACAGTAGCCACAAGCTACAAATGTGGTCAACCATGCCTACAGGCTGTTGATACTTGTGCATACCTTACAGACATTTGGGATAGTAAACAAGAGGAGTGCTTTCTTCTTAGCAAGGAATGCAGCCTTTACATTTGCTCCAGGAAGAAGGTATATTTCACAGTCTTTGCCTGAAATCAGAGATTTGGTATCAAATTAGGTTCTGGAAAAAGGTATCACCAAAAGGAGGAGAATGTAAGATGAACCGTGCTGGATCAGAACAAGAATTTAGCTAGTGCAGGAATGTCTGATACTGAAAATAATACCCTCTGGTAGTGGAGTGAATAGTTGTGGAGTTACTATTTTGGTCTAGTAGATACTCATGGCCCTAACCCTGCTGGATTTATCCAACCCCGGTCTAAAGCCATCCAAGTTGGCAGCCATAACTATATCTTGTGGCAGTGCAGCCCACTGTTTAAACATGCATTATGTCAAGGAAGGACACATTGTTGTTACAGTGTGCCTTCAAGCCATTTCCGACTTATGGCGACCTTAAGGCAAAGCTCTCACGGCATTTTCTTGGAAAGGTTTGTTCAGAGGAGGTTTGCCATTGCCTTCCCCTGAGGCTGAGAGCATGTGACTTGCCCAAGGTCACCCAGTCAGTTTTGTGGCCAAGTAGGGAATTGGACCCTGGTCTTCAGAGTCATAATCCAACAAACCACTATGCCATATTGGCTCTCAAGGAAGGAGTACTTCTTTTATCTCCAGAATCTTTCACATTTCATCTTCAGAAGTCTTAAGAAAGAGGCATACAGACATACCTATTTGTCTTTCTTCACACTCTGTTCAATTTGGAATAATTCTAGTGTTTCCTCTGCAGAACCTGCCTTTTTTCTTAGCTAAACAGCCCACAAATGTGTTCATCTTCCTCCACAGAAGGGTTGATAGTCTCTTGATCATTTTGACAGGGGGGTAAAGAAGCTCGATCTGCCTTCCTCCCTATGGTTTCCTGTTTTCATCCTCCACCTTTGTAACCCTTGATTCAGGGCATGCTTGAGCCATAATTTGAAAAACTAGGTTAGGAATGAGGTGACATTAAACAACTGTATGGTAAAAACAAAAAACAAAAACCCAAAAACAAATGGGACCCCCTGAAGTAGAAGTGGGCAACTTGTGGCTCTCTAGATGTTATTAGGCTGCAACGCCCATCAGCCCCAGTCAGTATTGCCAATGGCCAGGCATGATGGGAGTTGCAGTCCAACTTCATCTGAAGGTCCACAACATCACTCTTGCCTCTGCTCTACAGAAATTTAATCTGATTTTTTTTAAAGGCCATGAATTGATGTTAAAAGCCAGAGTGCCAGAGTGGTTTGAGTGCTGGACTGTGACTCTGGAGACCAGAGTTCAATTCATTGCTGGGCCATGAAACTCACTGGGAGACCTTGGGCAAGCCATATGCTCTCAGCTTCAGGGGAAGACAATGACAACCTTGCTCTGAACAAATCTTGCCAAGAAAACCTCATGACAGGTTCATGGGCTTAGGGTAGCCATAAGAGGGAAATGACTTCAAAGCACACAACAACAACAAAATTAGATGGACATACAGTGGCATAAATCCAATGGCTGGTCCCAGTAGAGCTATTGAATGAACTGCTGATTGGTAACTCTCATGGATTCAATGGGTCTACTTGCCTGGGAACTAACAAATGCATTGAGGCCGATGGGATTGTTTACCTCTGAGTAAACAGATTAGCTGCAGACCGACCAGATTTCTTAAGAAAAAGACATTACTTCATCCCTGGAGGTTTTGAAATCAAAAGCTCATACCAACTGGAACGCCATACCAACCGGAAGTCCCTCCTCAAGCTCCAATGGTGGGAAGAAAAACAAGGGTGGTCAGTTACTTGCTTGTGGCCAGGCAGACTGGGAGGGCATCTCCACTGGAGAAATAATACAGCTTGACACCCCTTTAACTGCCATGACTCCATCTAGGATTTGTAGTTTCCTGAGGCACCAGTATGCTTGGGCAGAGGAGGCTAAAGACCTGGTAAAATTACAAACCCCAGAATTTCATCAGATGGAGAGCACTTTCAGTGCTTTTAAACTGCATTGTTTCTACAGTGTAGATGCACCCTCCTAAATGAGGACCATCTGCCACCTTCCTCCAGGCGGGGTTGGAGTCTATGGCTGCACCTGCACTGCAGGAATAGTCCAGTTTGACACCCCTTTACTGCCATGGCTCAGTCCTGGGAATTGCAGTTCATTGTGGCACTACAGCTCTCTGACAGAGTAGGCTAAATATCTCACAAACACTACAGGTCCCAGAATTCCCTGGCACTGAGCCCTAGCAGTCAAAGCAGTCTCATATTGGAATTATTTCTGCAGTCTGTTTTGGACCTCGGGTCGCATCTGCACTGCAGGAATAATCTGGGTTGAACTGCCATATGCGATGGAATTCTGGGAACTGTACTCTTCTTGGGAGACACTTCTCCACCAGAGGCTTCAGGTGCCCCAGGAAACTACAAACCCCTGAATTTTCCCAGAGCAGTTCAAGCGGGGTCAACCAGGGGCTATTCCTGTAGTGTGGACTCAGCCTATGAAAAGCTGGCAGCAAACTACATGTCCTAGAATGATCCCACTGCCTGGATCCCAGGGGCAGTTCAAACGACATCAAACTGGGTTATTCCTGCAATGTGGATGCAGCCCCAAGTTTAGCTTAAAGGTAGGTAAAACTATTCCCCATTGACAAGGCTGTCAGGTTGTGTCTGACCATTGTTGTTGTTGTTAACTGCCCTCAAGTCGATCTCGACTCATGGCAGTCGGATGGATGAGACATCTCCAAAACCCTCTGCCCTCCACTGCTCTGTTCAATTCCTGCAACCCCTTAATACCTGTGATCTCCTTAATAGAGTCCATCCATCTGGCATGTGGCCTTCCTACTTCTCTCCACCTTTCCCAGCATTATTGTCTTTTCCAAAGAGTCCTCCTTTCTCATGATGTGTCCGAAATACGAGAGTCTATGTTTGGTCATCTTGGCTTCCAAAGAGGTTTCAGGCTTGATCTGCTCTAGGACCTAGTTGTTTGTCCTTTTGGCTGTCCATGGGATCCTCAGCACTCTTCCCCAGCACCAGATCTCAAAGGAATTGATTTTCTTACCATCATCTTTCTTAACTGTCCAGCTCTCACATCCATACATGACAATAGGGAATACAATGGCTTGTATGATTCTAACCTTTATTCTGAGTTGTATATCTTTGCATTTTAGAATCTTTTCTAGTTCTTTCATAGCCATTCTCTCCATTCTTAGTCTTCTTCTGATTTCCTGACTGCAGTCCCCATTTCTGTCAATGTTTGATCCCAGGTATCCATTTTTTTTAACTATTTCTATTTTTTCATTGTCTAGGCTGAACTTGTGAAGGTTCTCGGTGGTCATTTTTTTTTCTTTATGTTCAACATTAAGCCTGCCTTTGCACTTTCTTCTTTGATCTTCCTTAGGAGGTGTTCCAGGTCTGTGAGGTTTTCTGCTAGTACTATGGTGTCATCTGCATATTGTTGATATTTCTTCCTCCTATTTCCATTCCTCCTCCTTCTGTGTCCAAGCCTGCTTTCCTTATAATATGTTCTGC